AGAAAAGGAAAAAACCTTGGCGGCACGGGTGAGGCGATCACCACTCTCCCCGACAGAGATGTTGAGGACCAACTTCTGGACCTTGATCTCTCTCATTGGGTTCGATAGTTTCTTCTCTGAAGCCTGATTTAAGCACAACAAAAACAACAACACTAAGCAGCAATAACAACAATGATGTAGAAATGGAAATAACGAGAAGAAGAGATGAGAAAGACCATTGCTGCGGGCTGCGGGCTGCGGGAGGCGGGAGGCGGGAGGGACTGGAGAAGGAAAACAATCTAGTCTTCATTTTATATAGGATGTAACTAGGGTTAGAATGCTAAATTACGATACTGGCCTTGTATTAGCCAGGAAAAAATAAAGTAAATTTCCGTTGCCGGGATTTGAACCCGGGTCTCTCGGGTGAGAGCCGAGTATCCTGACCAACTAGACTACAACGGATTTGGGTAATGTTAATCTCATATGAAAAACTATATTGTGTTAACACCTTGGCATCACCCATTGAAGGCTTACCATCGCGCAAGAACAAATATGAAATTTCTTTTTATGTTACGGCATGATTAATTTAAAACTAAATAATTTGAATTAATACAAGAAGACAAATGAAGAAAAACTCAAGGAAAAAAAAGCTTTATTTTGATAACATTGAACTAAAATACAAATAAAAAAATACTAAACTAGTTTTGATTGATTCATCCACGAAGTTTTGTGCTAATAAAAAGAATAAAAATATTAAACTAATATTTATGGATTCATCGAGCTCACCTTCTCTTCTATCTCATTAAACACAAATATAGAAGAAATACCCAAAAACAAATTCATGGTGTAAGACAAAAGCAAACATAAATTTGGTTTCTTCATTATATTCTCTTCTCGTGTTATGGTGTTGACATTGATTTGTTTTCTGTAACTTAACAACAAAATGCATGCTTTCATTCTTTTCTTGAAGTGAGATTTCAAGATTTACAGGTAATGCATTTTGTTATCGTTAAATCATTAGAATATATGTTTTATTTTCTTGATTTATCAAAAAACTTAACAAATTAATTGTTTAAAATTGAAAATGGGAATCTTTCAACAACCCTAAATACTTATATTTTTTATGTTCAATTGATAAATTTTAAACCCTTATTGGAGAGTGAAACCTGTTATTTTAGTTTTATAAAAAAATCTAAAATTAAAAAATCAGAGTTAATGTTCACATAACTTTGATTTTTTAATTAGTGTTAAATTCATATATAGTTGCTATTCAATTAGTGTGTCACCCTAAGCAATGTAATCAGACACTCTTGCTTGATGCAGTTTATTAATTTAAATGTGATTGTGAGTGAATATTTAAGCTATGCAAGTTTATTATTACAATAAATTTTGTGAAAGATTATTTTGATTTTAGAATGATTATGTTTGATTTACAAAGCCATGATCCACTTTACTGGAATGAATATGTTTTGACCAATAAATAAACTAATAAAAAAAATACAAGAAAGTCTTTGTAATAATTAGACAAATAAACAATATAAATTAGCTTAGATGAGGTGTACTAGAGGTGATATTGTTTTTAATATACACAATTAGTTCTCTTATTCGAATTCTAAAGATCAGTTAGGGTTTCTAATAATTAAAATATTAGGTGGCGACTCCAAACCTTTTAAATCATAAAAAGATAATAATTTCATGTTCTTTCCACACTATAAAATCCTAATTCAGAAAGATAATTGTCGCAACGCCACACACTTGCAATAATATTAATATTCCATGTTAAAGTAACCATATTGGATCACATAATCTAATTTGATTTTAACCTTAAAAGTAAGTGGACCTCACATATAATCTGATATTAAAAAACTCACTACATATTAAAAACCAATTCCACCAATCCTTCACATGAACAAAAATTATTTGATGGTATAAAGACTCTAAAGATTCATAAAAAGATATTGATTTGGTAAATCATTACATAAATAAAAGTAGCTTTTGGATTTAAACTTTTATTAGTGAAATAATATTGTATTTACTCACTAAATAGTGAATGTGATGTCTTAAAATATTTAGTTTTTTGTGTAAATCAAGATAATAATACTCGTATAATTCCTTACCTAGAGTTTCTTTATGCTCTTATAATTGTGTTTATTTTGATTTGAACAATTCTTGATTTCATAATACTTTAAAGAATTTAGTATTTTTAAAATTCTTAAGGAAAGAACCACATTTTCTACTCATATAAGTCATATTTCATTAAGAGAATTCTTTCATATTCCATTTGGTATACCAAAATATAAAAATCATTAAGACCATAACTCTTCTTTTATCACACTACGACTAACACCACTTTCATAATAGGAATATGTAGAATATAATAATTTTTAGATGCTACTAAAAATGTTATATAACTTAGTTTTTTATTTAAACATAGATCTTGAGATCTTCAATCAACTAGGTATAGTTACCATCATTATATTATTTCATCTTTAAAGGCTTTAAGCCTATCCCTCCCCCAATAAATTATATACAATCTCTCTTGATAAGCCTTTAGTTAGCAGATTCATAATATTTTTTTTGGACTTTATATAGTCAAAGGAAATAATTCTATTTAAGAGAAAATGTTTAATGATATTGTGTCAGTGATGTATATTTTTCTTAGACTTACCGTTATACATACTACTTTGTGCCTTTTCACTTGCAAACTAATTGTTGTAATGAACATAAATTATTGGCACTAATTTTAGCTAATATGAAATATTCTCTTAAAAACTTTTAAGCTACTTAACTTTCTTTTAAGCTTTATCAAAACAATAAACTTTGATTCCATCATGGATCTTATGATTCACGTTTAATTAAAGAATTTTTATGACATAGCTATTACATCAAGAGTAAAGATATATTCACTAGTGGATTTCAAATCTTTAATATCAAATATCCAATTAGCATTATTATACCCTTTTAGTATCATTGGGTAACTAATATAATATAGTTCATAATCCAATGTGTACCTCAAATATTTCAATATACTTTTTATTGTTATCCAATGACTCATCCTTGTTTTAAAAGTAAATCTAGTTAGTTTGCTAATTGAGGAAGTAATATTGGGTCTCATGTAGTTCATAACATACATTAAGCTTTTACTTATTCAAGAAAATTCTAATTGACTCATTCTCTTACCTCTATTTTTGAACATATATACTCTTATATCAATTATTTTTTTGACACTGTTATTATCACCTTTAGAAAATTTATCCAAAATTTTCTTAATATAATAAGATTGGAACAATACTGATCCATCATATGTCTTATAAATTTTTATTTTTAGTAAGGATATTTAAAACACTAAAGTTTTTCATGTCAAACTTGTTAATTAAGATTTTTTAATAGACTTGATCATATGATTATTGTTTTTTAAAATTAGCAGATCATTAATTTAGAGACATACAATGACAAAACCTCTACCCATGTTTTACACATAAACATAGTTATTAACTTTTCTTGATTTTAAACTCATTTGAAAACATAACCTTGTTAAGTTCATGTAATTGTTTAGGAGCTTGTTTCAAATCATATAATGATTTGACAAACTTACAAAGGCCTTAGCTAGTGATCTGAGTTATTTCCCTCTCGACGAATAAGCTTATCCCTCATCGTCTCACTAGCCAACCTTAACCCCAGTTATTTTGAGGTCATATCTAGTATTTAGAGTTTGCCTAACCACTCTCGTGGCCTGTACCGAAATAATTTCTTATCCTTAGATGTCCCGTCAACTGCTGCGCCTCAACGCATTTTAGGAAGAACCAACTAATTATGGATTCAAGTGGCATTTCACCCCTAACCACAACTTATCTGCTGATTCTTCAACATCAGTCAGGTCGCCACTTGGTTTCACCCAAGCTTCATTCTGGTCATAGATAGATGACCCAGGTTCAGGTCCATAAACAGTGACAATTACTCTATGAAGAATCACTTTCACTATGACTTTTTTTTTCTTATCCATTAACAACAAACCCCTCAAGTCGTTCCACATAGACCTCTTCATCTAGATCACCTTTTAATAAAGTTGTTTTTACATATATTTGTTGTATTTGAAGTTTTTTAATAGCTATTATGACTATTAATGTTGTATGAAAATTATTTTTGATATAGATAAATATGTATCAAAATAATTTACACCTTCTTGTTGTCTAAATCATTTTATAACAAATTTAATTTTATATTTGTTATTAGTAACATTATATTTCATCTTCCTTTTAAAGATTCATTTTTGGCCTAATGATTTTCTTTTGTAGGGAAGATATACTAGTTTCCATGTATGATTGATTATTTATAATAGATTTTATTTCATTATTGATTGTCTACTTTCAATATAAAGCTTTAAGAGATATTGTTATTTTGAAATATGTCTAAGATTCATTCTCTAACAAGTATGATAGAAAGTCATGACCAAATATTTGGTTGTTTTTTTTTTTCTTTTTACTCTTCATCGACTCAACTTCATCATCTTTTGATTAAGGATGATTACTTGGACTCGCCTCAATTATTTTTTTATATAAACTATTTTAATATGTTTTTTTAAATGAAAATACATCTTCAAATAATATAACTTTTCTCAATCCATAATAATATTAAGATGAATATTCTTCATACTTGATTTGTGTACAATAAATCAACATGCACTACTAATATAAACATATATGATAAATACACAATTCATATGTCATTTTCTAGGATAAGATACCACTATCTTTGTTAGACACATATCTTTTTTCAACTTTTTATATGGTACTTTGTTAAGTATAAATTGGTAGGTAAAATTACCTCTCCCAATAAGTTTCGAGATGCTCAAAACTTATCAATATAGAATTCATTTTTTTTTTAATATTTGGTTCTTACATTTCATAATGTTATTTAGTTAAGAAGAGGTAATTTGATCGATAATACTATTTTAGAAACATGATTCACTAAATGGTCTTTTATATTCTTCACCTTTATCACTTTTTATTACCTTTATTTTCTTATTAAGTTGATTTTTTACTTTATTCTTATAATGTTTAAACATTTAAATAGCCTCATCATCTTTGCTTATAAACAAATAGGTATAACAATACCTTATGCAATCATCTATAAAAGTAACATAATACTTTTTCTCACCTCTAGTTTATGTAGACTTTAAATCACTAATATCTGAAAGAATAAACATATAGGTTCACTATTATTTTTAAATAAATGAAAAGAAGTTTTTGTGAATTATGATTCAACATGAATCTCACACTTATGATTTATTTTTTATATAAAAAAT